GTTATATATATATATAACATATATAGAGAGAAACCCAACATAAATTAGAGGCATTGATTACAGTACTGATGTTTTTTTTCTTTACTCTTATATTTGTAAATCAAATGCTACTAGGAACTTTCTAACTAACAAAGTAATGGATCCCGAAATTGTATTGTTCATAAATAGTTTATAGAAATGTGTTTGAAAATTTAAAAAAAAAAAGTGTTGACCGTGTTGGTATATCTAGGGTTATGATAAACATGCTTCATAGCCTGTTAGACTAAATTATCTCAGTGTAGTTATCAAAATATGTGAAAATCACTGTTTCTTTTAAAATTGGGATAGGTTCGTAATTCAGTTTCTAGTTGTTTCTTTCTAATCTTGATCCGTGTAGTAAAAACATGCATTAAAGTTTGTTTGTAACACAAAAACGTTATGTCAGTACTTTCAGGGCAGCGGGGTGAGTGTAGAGAGGGAGGGGGGAGAGAGTATCACCCTGTGATGTAACTTCTATAGGACAGTCGTTATCATGTTCTACCGTCAAGGTTTTGCTGTTTTAGAGTCAATTTTTAAAGTTCAAGGGTTTTCTCAATAAATTGAAAATAATAAGACTGTATACTATCACAATTGCACAGATGTTGTAGTTATATTCTTCAACAAATCCATAACTCGTTCAACAGTTATTTGACAAGTTCAGAATATCACATCATTATAAAAATGGATCTAAAACTTATACCAGAACTTTGTCTAGAACAGTTTGTTTAACTTACATATAAATGATGTGTATTACATGTGATATAAATATACGCCTATGTACAATTGATATATCAATATTATTTTCTCCTTTTCTCTTTAAGCCTAATTTAAACATAACTATGTTTCTTCAAATCATTTATATAACAGTTCATGAGCGAAGCAGCCCGTTGTCATCCGCTTGGACGTGTAGGACAACCGCAAGAGGTCGCCACTGCCATCGCTTTTCTCGCTTCTGACGAGGCTTCATTTATTAGTGGAGAAACCTTGGTGATAGATGGCGCTAGACTCGCCTCCTGCTAATATGTCTTTTTATATTTCTGTAGTAATAAAATTTCAGTTACTGATTATTCCCCTTGATGTGTAGTTATTGGTTGTTAACACTTGCTGTAAAAGTTTGTAAAAGTTTACAAAATTTTACAAAACCTGAAATCCAGAAAGAGATCTTTAAAACGATTCTTCACGTGGTTATATAAATATATAGTTCAGTATTAACAAGTTAAATTTCCTGTGGTGTTTCAACCCGTCTCAGATAACGTGTCTGCACTAACCAGCAAGCTGGTAATAAAATTACTCTGGAATTTTAACCTACATGCCATAGATTCTGATAACCGAGCTAAACTTGAACTTACTACAATTTTTTAACTCGTTTAAGTCTTCTGTCTTGCTTATGTAACTGGGGAGAAATTGCATTTTTGTCAAGATAAACGGTAGTGAGTTGTGCGGCCAAAACAACCTGCAGGATACACTTTGTGTTATTAACAGGAGTGATATCTTAGCTATTTTCCACTATCTGTGGCTCGGAACATAGTAATCCAAACTATTTCACATTTTTAGTGGATGTTCTCTACTGGAACCTTACTTCCCATATTTCAAGACAATCCATTAAAAAATACACCAGATATAAAATATCCAATTTTGATTGAATTTTTTCCTGTTTTCATTTGCAGCGAAAGTGTGGAACTTTATTTGATAGAAAATAAATTGTATGGATTTTTTTTTCAAATTTGATTCACAGATAGACCTTTACAACTTACAATTATGTGTCAAATTTGGTCTAAATATAAGCCACATGTCCAAAGTTATATAACAAAAATCGCTCAAATTTCACCAAAATGTTTGCGTACGCCTACGCAAAAAGTCATGTAAGCTAAGAGTAAAAGTTGACGTTTTTAGCTTTTTGTCATTCGTATTAAAGACAGCTGACTTAGAACAGCAAAACTATTGGGCGAAAATACGTGCAGATACATAAGTATTGGTTAGGCCAGCAAACTAGATTACCAGCTTCTAGCTCAACTTTTCAAAATAATCTGCACCATTACCAAGTTTTGAGCATAAAGTTGCTAATTTGTATGAAATTCTTCTATTTAAAGAGCGTTTAGCAATACGCAATATTAGCTTCAGCAGTTAGCGTAAATAATGATGTTTGATACGGCTGTACAGAGTGCACGCGGGTAATGACAAGAAACTGTTAATCTAGATTCCATGGCACTTTTTATAAAGGAAGTTATTAACACTGTTTTAGAGAGGAAAAACTACCACCATATATTTTAAAGATTATTGTTGGTTCTGTAAAGTTATTAATGTTTATTGTTCATATTCTTAAACTAAAAAATTATCTGCCATAATACAGATAAAATCAAAACAAAATATAGCCACAAATGTAAACAAAAAATCCACAAAAATTGATTTCGTTAACAACTTTATAGGTATAAACATGATATATCTGTAAACAATCTTATACCTACAATCAATAATATACCTATAAATAATGTTATAGCTACAACCAATAATATATCTATAAATAATGTTATATCTACAACCAATAACATACCTATAAATAATGTTATACCGATAATGAATGTAACACTTATAAACAACGTCATATCTGTTAAGAATATTGTACCTATAGACAAAGCTATACCTAAAACATTTGAAATTAATAGACTTAATGTATCTTTCTACTGTATGTAAAGTACCCAATTAGCAATATATATATATATGCACGTGGATTCTACTTCTTAATTCATCTCGATTACTACTCATAGATTACAAAATGTATCCTCAATGTAAACTGTTCAAATGTATTATAATAATAACTATTTAAATAACGATTCTAACAACAGAGACAACCAGTGGAGACTAAAATGTGATTTCTACTTGAAATATAATACTGTTTTGAATTAAACCACAGTTTCCAAATAGCCCCTGCCTCCTAAGAATTTAGTGTTGAATAATGTTAAAATGATAAATATCCACTTTTGTTCGAGTTCGACTGGAATGAAACTCTTGCAACAGTTCTGACATCGTCCATAAAAAAAGTCAGATTTATATATTTATGTGCACATATGAAAGTTTGAGCAAAAACATCCTGTATCACCTGGTTAGCCTCAATAAACAGTGATTTTAATATGGTTGGAAAGACCAGTGAAATACAGTTATATCATCCCAAACTTTGAATATTCAAAGCGGGTTGCTAAAGTTTTCTTTGGCGAAAATGATACTTGATATGTGCAAGAAATGTGTCGTACATTAATAGTTACAATGCAATACTTTAAAAGTTTTCAAAGTAAAGCAGAAGAAACACTTCATTGAAATTTGTGAGTTTAATCTAGTAAACTTTACATGATAAAGTACAGTTAATGTTCTAGTTCTCTCACTCACCTTTTCATTTAAAGTATTAATATTATAGTTGTGGATTTTTGTTGAACGTACTCTTCAAGGTTTGTTGACAGTCATTAATGCTAGACACACACATGCATTCCTTCTTATAGATAATGTCAGCTTATGTTTTATTAGCTTCATAGTTTCAAGACAAATAAGTAGTTATGATAAATTAAACATAATTAAAAAAATCATTATTTCTTATACTATTTTAAACAAACATTGGTATTCACAATCTCTGAAAATTTGTTTCCCTAGTATGAAAATGGCATGTAATTAAGTTTTCTGTACTATATCTTTTGAAAGTAGTAATTAAAATATGTTTTCCAAAGAGGATATATACCAGCTTAATTAATATAATACAGTAATATTACTATGTTTTTCTACACCAAGTATTTTTTGGTGGAAATAATATAAAGGAAAACTATTATTCAGCTTAAAGATATATTATTTCCATATTTCGTAATAGTTTTATTTTCGGTCGCTAGATGAAAGTACAAAATGTTCGTACACAACGACATATTAGGACATTTCATTCCACGAACATCTCTGACAAAACAATTTCCCTAAAAATAAATAAATGAATAAAGTATACTTTACATTAATATTAAAGATATCAAGCAATTGAAGTCTTTATGCAACTATCAGATTTGTGTATATGCAATCTATGTCTACTTTTAATAACACCAGTTTTGAACTAATTAAAACAATACTTTATATATTGGTCTTCTTTCCTTTAATCTTTCCGTACGGCCGAGCCTGGAGCTGTATGTGTATGCGTGGTGTCACACTTCATGATCTAGTATCAGTATGATGTCCCCCTATTAATTGCTCTGACCCTTGTGGAGTAAATAGGGAGAAAAGGATTAGATTATGTTCCCCAGGGGCTCGAATGGAGGATATGACAAAGCATGAGATATAATATAGGATGCTAGCAATGATTCAGTTTTTGTTGTACACGTAGGGGCTAATGATGTAGGGAAAGTTAGGCCAGAGGAGTTAATTAATAAGTAGAAGGGGTTGATAAAGGCATTTAAAAAAAGGGCCATAACTTAATTGTGTCAGGGATACCGTCGAGGATTAATTGTGGGGATGAAATTATAAATAGGTTACTGGGGATGAATGCTTCATTTTAAATTTTGCGCAAAGCTACACGAGATCTCTCTGTGCTAGCCGTCTCTGATTTAGCAGTGAAAGACATACAGCTCCAGGCTCGGCCCTACTGAAACGTTAAAGAAAATAAGACCACTATGTTGACAATCCTATCTTCATGCCTTGTTAAAGAATCGCCTATAACCTTCTTATATTAACCATTCACCTCTTTCTCTGTCCCTTTTGTTTTCCTTTCATTCAATAAGGATGGGTAGGAAAAATTTATTGATTTCTTATTACAGGTAGAAGTTATAACTTTGTATTTTGGGATTGTTTATAGATTGTGTCTAGAATAAGTCAGATAGTGTAATGTTAGAGGTACCCAAACTAAAAGAGGAGAATTCAAAACATACACACTCTACTTGACACACGGAAATGAAGATTAAGAAACATTTAAGTTGTTTGTTTTTAATTACGAAATTAAACATTGGATACAAAAGTGGTTTAAATTATAAACTACACTCTGATGGTAATTTTATTAGCACAACTTGATAATAAAGTTATCAAACTAAATTTTGAATATAATTCTGTGAAACTGTATAAATATTGTGACATGCGCACAACAGCCAAGTCCGTGCTGAAGACTAATATAAAGTGGTTATCTTTCTTAGAGTTTTTGTCTTGTTTTTCGACAATCCGTCGACAGAAAGTCTTACCCTAAGATAAACATCTTGGTTAGTTAATCACAAGAAGGACGGACGCTTATGCGATTGATTAAAGTGCAATGTGTTTATACTCACACCCTGTTGCCTAACTAAACTTGTAACCTTGGTTTTATATCTGCTTTTTTCTAACCCTAATATATTTCTGATAAGAGTAATACCAAAAGTACATTTAATTATCATAAATCTGTTATGTTAATCAAGTTCAAAAAATATTTCTGTTCAGTGCATACATAATATGAACTTTAATTATTTTATTCTTCATAAGTATTTCTTTCAGACTATTAATTTCAAGTAAATGAACGTATTACGCTTACTTGGAGGTATTTCTTGTATGTATATTAAGTCAGCTTAGCTTTTGAAAATCCCATATTTTACACTTCCCTTCATGAACTATTTTTCATGAACAAAATACACCTGTATATATTATGTAACGATAGCAACACTTAAATCACCGATTATGTACCAAAATATAGGTTTTTCTTTCGTCTAAGTGATGGTATTATATTTAGTTCTTATTGAAAAACAAATTAACGGTACTAAAATATTCTAAACTAATAATGATAATCTCCAACACAGACGCCATTAATTAAACATTTTAATTTCCCACCCTAACCAACCAATCTTTCGATATTATTATAATATTCATATCTTAAATAGAGACGTTACTCTCGGTTCAAAAAAAAGGTTTTAAACGACAACTGTTCAACGAATCCACGAATTATCGGTTGTACTAAAACCTTGAACATAAGCACGTGTGACAATCTCTCCCAATCAGACAGCGAGGTCACAGTGGCCATCTGAACTAGAAGGGTTGTTATAATAGAAAAGTCTGGAAACACAAGGGTGAGTTCTTCTTACTGATCTCATGTAAGTTATTTAGCTAGACAAATATACTTTATTTGAGTAATTTCACTGTTAATTTCGTGTGTCCTATGATGGATAATTAAAGTAAAATACAATTGTATAAGGAATTATCGTAATACTATTATTTTTCCAGAAATTATTTTGTTGGAGTTGATGCAGAAATCGAAGTTTTAAACAGTAAGTTTTAATACTTAATGAGAAGTTTGAAGGTTAGTTTCTAACGTGGAAGTTAAATAAGAACAGCGTTCTTTCAAGATAATTCACGTGATTAAAATGTTCTGTCACTGACTCACGAGAATGTTAAGAATGGTTTGAAAATAGTATATGAATTAACATATCAAACTAGTATCTCACTATTGTTCCAGTAAATATTTTGATAAATTGCTGTTTATTAAACACTGTTTTTCTCCTGGTATACAATGTATATATAAAGTTTGAGAAAATCAAAGGTATTTGAAAGTAAATAAAACAATGTAACACAGGAGTTACATATAATACAACTTCCCCGACATATTATTATCAGTAGAATTAAAATGTTAATTGGAATTGTCACCAAATTGGTATATTATTATTACATGTTGTATTAGCATGAATATTGTTATTATATGTTGTATTAGAATGAATATTATTATTATTATATGTTGTATTAGAATGAATATTATTATCATTACATGTTGTATTAGCATGAATATTATTATTATATGTTGTATTAGAATGAATATTATTATCGTTATATGTTATATTAGCATGAATATTATCATTATACGTTATATTAGCATGAATATTATTAGGATCTTATTGCTAACTAGGAGTATTATAATACCATGCATCTTATTGAGATGCCCCTCAGTGGCACAGCGGTATGTCTGCGGACTTACAACGCTAGAATCCGGGTTTCGATACTCGTGGTGGGCAGAGCACAGATAGCCCATTGTGTAGCTTTGTGCTTAATTACAAACAAACTTATTGAGATAAATTATAGTAAGTAAGTAAGAGATGCATTTCATTCCAGTCCAAGACTGGCGGGCGAAGAGAGGGGTACACCCTCTCTTCAGCCAGAGGATGTGTCTGGTTATGAGGAGAAGAAGATAGGTGACTAAGGGAGAAACTAAAACTGTTGAATGTGGGGCAAAAAGTCGAGAAAGTGTATGGAGGAATGTCGCAGTAAAACAAGAGAGAAAAACAAGGGTCAGAAAAATATGAATGAAAATAGCATCAAAAGTTTATATGGAAGTGTATCAATGCAGCTGAGATGAGAGAACATGGAGTTAGGGTCCCATTAATGATGCTGGTCTGGAGTCGGCGAATCAGGAGAGTAGATATAATGTGGTAGGTCGGATGTCAATATGTTCGGAATCATCAGGTCCTCCGGATAGTGCATATAAGTTCAAAAGATATTCCAGCCGAGGTGAGACACGCAGAGCAGGATGGAGAGGGTTCTCATGTGCAGTGGCAAAGCTAACATTTTGAGTACGAAAGCAACGCTGGACAAAACAAACCCGGAGATCACGGAGGTGAACAAGAAGTGGAGAAAAGGTAATACGAACATACAGGTCACGAGTAGGACTAAGAAACTTCACATGAAGGGCCAAACGTAAAGCATGATGTTCCAACACTTGCAGAAAAGGCGTGTACCCCGTCAAAAAGATCAAGGCAGAGAGATTCTGATGAAAGGAGTGAATAAGACGGATATACGACTGAGGAAGATATAGACAACGTAACTTGTAAATCAAACCCTGATGCCAAACTGAGTCATAAGCACTTGCAAAGTGAAAAAGAAGAAGACATGAAGGTTTAAATGTGTTAAAATGATTGGTAATGGCATCAGTCAATCGAAGAAGCTGATCCACAGTTGAAAAGTGGGGGCGGAAACCGGCCTGGGTATGGGGAATAATGTTGTACAGAGTCAAATGGATATGTAGTCTGCGAACCAGAATCTGCTCAAACGTTTTGCCAACATTGGACATTGGAAACTTGGGTGGTTTTAAAAAGAGGAGAACCGTCTTCCATGAAGCAGTGTAAGAGCCAGTACAAATATAAAATTATAGAAGGCAACCAAAAGAAGCAAAAACTGAGATGGAGCATGTCGAAGATGAGAGTAAGTCAGAGCATAGGGACCAGTGGTGGTATTGTGTCGACCACGAAGAGAAACATTAACATCAAAAAGTGTAATGGGTTCATTAAGAAGACATGTAGAGAGAGATCGTGGTCAAGACTCGGTGTGAGATCGGGAAGAAAAGGATCGGTCTGACGATAGATATCAGAAGTATCTTCAAGATCTAAAGGAGCATAAAAGTGATCTTCAAAGTAGGAGACAAAAACATCAGCCTTAGCAACTGATGTCGGAGGAGCATCCCCATCAACCAGAACAGGGTAGGAAGGAACAGAACATTGTCCAGTAAGGCGGCGAAAATGTTGCCAACATTGTGAGGAAGAAGGAGAGTGGCAGAGAGAAGAGTAAATGTTATACCAACGACGAAGTTTGACTGCTCTAACAAGATTAAGGGCCGACTGCTGTAGACAACGAGAGCGAGTGAGGACCAGTGGATCATAGAAACGAGTGTAATCATGGAGAAGTAATGAAGAAAGATGGAGTAGATCCAGAGCTCGATGAGGTATAGCAGGTTTATGAGAAGATAAAGAAGAACGAGTAATATGAAGATGACCAGTAGTGAGGAGAAGAGATTCCAATGTGGAGGCAGTATTATCCACCTGAACAGTAGAGCTAAAGGACACATCGGTATAGTAAGTTAGCTAGTAATATGAGAGCGGTAAGCTTCCCAATTAGCACGACGAAAATTCCACATTTGACGGCGAGGCAGAGGAGAAACAGATACATGAATACTCTATAGCTGAAATCTGATAGGAAGATGATCATTACCAATAAAAGAAAAGAACATTTATAGCTGAAAGTTTATTTTTAATCCAAGAAACCCATTCATCATAATGAACAGACATAAAAACACAATTGCGTTTTATATTTCCAAATTGAGGCTTCAACCTCAACGCACTATATCTAGTGTTTTATTTACTATATCTAGTGTTTTACTGTATCTAGTGTTTTACTGTATCTAGTGTTTGACTACATCTAGTGTTTTACTACATTTAGTGTTTTACTACATCTAGTGTTTTACTGTATCTAGTTTTACTGTATCTAGTGTTTTACTACATCTAGTGTTTTACTGTATCTAGTGTTTTACTACATCTAGTGTTTTACTGTATCTAGTGTTTTACTACATCTAGTGTTTTACTATATCTAGTGTTTTACTATATCTAGTGTTTTACTACATCGAGTGTTTTACTGTATCTAGTTTTACTGTATCTAGTGTTTTACTGTATCTAGTGTTTTACTGTATCTAGTGTTTTACTATATCTAGTGTTTTACTGTATCTGGCATTTTACTATATCTAGTGTTTTACTATATCAAGTGTTTTACTACATCTAGTATTTTACTGTATCTAGTGTTTTACTACATTTCAATCTTCTTATTAAAATACAATAATTTCAAGTTTTGTATTGTAGATAATTTCATCAATGGCTACTTTACAACATGGAGGAAGAAAACTGGACCAGAAAGTGGCGATAATCACAGGTCGGTGAAATGTAATCAACCTTTATTGTTTATTATGGCCAGGTGGGTAAGACGCTCCACTCGCAATCTGCGGGTCGCGGATCGCCCCCCCCCCCATCCCACCAAAACATGCTCGCCCTTTTAGCCGTGGGGGCGTTATAATGTGACGGTCAATTCCACTATTCATTGGTAAAAGAGTAGCCCAAGAGTTGGCGGTGGGTGATGATGACTAGCAGCCTTCCCTCTAATCTTACACTGCCAAAACCGAAAATAGCGACTCCGTATAGATACGGGAAGAAGAAGATAACAATATAAACATCTGATATGATAAATTAAATAAACGACATTCTATCAATATTTATTAATTTACTGTCCGTCGTTCATATTCCTTATTCAAAAGTTATAACGACTTTCTACTTCTACAAATTAAAATACTTGTGTGGATATCTAAATATTTAGGTGCTAGTTCAGGGATAGGTAGAGCCACTGCTGTGTTGTTCTCACGCCTCGG